TCATCATCTTTAGACAAGATTGTGTCAACCTGAGGTAACCCTGAAAAGTTATCCTCTGGCAGACCCTTATCAGCTTCCACTTCTGGGAAGACCCCTGTAAGTGGGCACTGCTGCTGCAGGGGAAGTGGTGTGTCTGTCTGACCTTTGGTCTCCAAATATTCTTTGGTAAACTGCTGTTGGGTTTTCATCTGCAACTGCCTTTCCACCTTCTGCAGCTCCTTCAATATTTTCTTCTTCTTCTGTACTTGTTCTTCTCTGTTCTTTTTAAGTTCTTCAATCTTATCTTTATTTAAAGGTTCACCTTGAATTAATTCCAATGATTTAAGTTGTGCTTTTTCAATAGCACTAATTCTCTGTCCAAGTTCATTCAGCTTGCCTTCAGTCTCTTCTACTATGCATTCCAAAGGCTGGTATGGGTGAAAAGGTGGCAGTAGGTCCTTATCTGCTACCTGCAGGGAACTTGACTTCTGCTTGGATGCACCTAAGCACATGAAAAATGTTTGAAAAAATGCCATGCTGAAGATACCCCAAACCTCCCCTCTCACCCACCAAAAAAAAAAAAAAAATAATAATTAAAAAAAAAATCTTTACAACTAACACTGCACATCTGTCAAACCACAGAAAGGTAAACCTACACTCCATGTTAAGACAAGAAAGGACAAAGTATATAGCTGGAATTTTTAATATCGATCCTAATATCCCTTTGAACACAGCTATTTTAATCTTAAGGAATAAGGAACTTTTATGGTTTCTGACATACATGACAGTGCATCTGGGAAGTGAAATCAGCAAGAAGAGCAAGGCAATTTCAATAATTTACTGAGTTCCCAAAGTTGTTCCGGTGTGCAGAGCAATTAAACTAAGACTATTTTCCAGAGGCTAACTTCCAACAGCAAGGTTACAAGCAAAGGCAGTCTATATTTGAAAGAAGACTAACTCTACAGTAAGATCAGTATTTTGAACTAGTATTTCTGCAAACACTGTAGCATTCCACCTTTACATTACAAACAGAATCCTGCCAGTGCAGATTTAATGTATACAAATATATTTTGAAGCTTTGGGACCTTTTTAAAAGTTCTGAGACAAAATTAACAGCTTGCTTGCCTCCCTCTCTCCAGTAACAGATTAACAATTCTGCTCACTATTAAGACTTAAAAAATAATCTTCAACATGAATCTAGCAAGGAACACCAAGCCAAGGCAGCACTTCTCTGAATGCTCACTGCCTTCAAGCAACCCGAGGCTGCTTTCCCAAAAGCCACATCTGTGAAACCTCCAGTCAGATCTTGCTAATAAGAATCTATTAAGTGCTGAAATTTTAATATGACTTCAGTGTAAGAAACTTTAATTAAAAATGTGGAAGGTTTTAGCCTGATCAAATAATTTCCTGCACTAACACTCATTTGCTATACCCAAACAGTGACATACATAGATTTAAAAAAAAAAAAAAAAAGAACACTCCAATATTTACAAAGCAGACTCATACAATTAATCATTAAAGGGGGAATTAAAATTATGTACAGTTTGAGCCTTGGCTTAATAAAGTTACCTAAACACCACACAGTTCAGTGAAAATCTGGATGCAAGAACTAAGTCCCAGATCAGTCGCTACGTCTGGAAGGATTAAGTTTCCTAAAACATCGATTTATTTCTCCCTGGGCCTTCCTTCACCAAAATACTAATTCACAAGTGACTTCATTTTGCATTGCTGTCAAAACAGGAGTCACATACACCTCACTCTGAAATAAATCTTTTTTTGAGGAACTAATTGAACAGGCAAACAAATGTGAGAATTTTCTCTTAAAAGAGAATTTTCTCCTATAAAGAGAAAGAACAAATATTAAAATAGAATTGAACCAACTGTGTGCTGAATACCTTCAGCAGACTCTCTGGAATGAAAGCAAACCATATCTAAATTTAAGGGAAACAACAAAAATCTTAATAACCCCAGGAAATATCCCAGCATCCCACAAACACTGTAGGTACCCTTCAGTAAGCTCTTTCTCCAGCTCAGTATTTTACACAGCTGCCTCGTACAGGTCAGTAGTTCCAGCTGAATACCTATTCCAACCACTACTATTATTTTGTCCCTGAACCATAAGTGAGTCACAAGACAATTTCTTGGAGGACAATAAAGAATTTGACTAAAGTTTAGCAATAACTTGCTTTGTGCTGGCTGATGGATATTTAGCTCAAGCCTGCTACAAGCTGCTGGCTATTTGGCTTTGTAGTGTTAGGTTTATATAGTTACCCTTTCATTTTAAAAAGTGTGATTTATATTGTAAGTTTTGCAGACCACTCTTGAAAAATATATTTGCACTCACCAAAAACATCACCAAAATGCTTGTCTATGTCTTTGTTAGAAACTAATAAAAGTCAATCGGTGTCTTTCGAAACTAAGCTGCTCCACTGCTGAAGTAGCAGAAACATTATAGTAACCTTAACTGCAAACTAACTCTACCTTTAAGATGCGACGAAGATGGGAACCCTTTGCACTGCTCTGTTTAATGTCATTCCTAAGGTTACCGTATCTATCATTTCCATCCTAACACAAAGCATTCCCACGACCTGGCAGCTCTGGACAGCTTCCAGCACTCTGTAGGAAAGAAAAGCTGCAGTTCAAAGAGCCCCCAAATAATAAAGTACCAATATTGTCCCTCTCAATTGAGTCCCACCTGGGGAGAAAATAAGCCTGCCATAGGAAAACTTTTGTACAAGTGCAAGAGGAAGTAAAGAGCAGAAGTGCAGCCTCGTATCAAGGCCTGGACTGGGTAGAGGAGCCAAGGCTGGTCTCACAGTGGGCAGCGCTCCCCAGACAGCAGCTCAGACCGGGAATGACCACGGAAAGTTGGGGAAGTTTCTGAAGACAGGTGTTAGGAAACCAGCAAGTGAAGAGCTGGGCTCTCAAGTTCCAGAAGAGGTGCAGAGATTTACTTTAATCAGCTTCTAATTAGTTAGCAGGGCCACTTTTCAGGTTCCAGATCATCCTTTCCATGCCAGAAAATAGTTGCAACCTGTAATCTTGGGGATACTGGAAGAGGACAAGGGGTAGGAAGAAAGATCTGGTAAACCTGACACGCACAGCTGAACAGCCAGTTCAAACCAGAGGTGGAGAAGACACTGGTGGTAGCTTCGAATATGTAAGCATTGTAATATAATATTATAATATTGGAAGTATTTAGAAGTAGCAATTTCCTGTTTTATCCAAATCTCTTCTGTATTACAATATCCTGAAAAATACTGTGCCCATTTTAGTAAATAATTATGAGCAAGACACTATATACTTTCACTTTTGAAATGCATTAAGTGCAATAAGACTTAAAAATCCAATCATAGGCCAGATCATAATTGTGTCAACTTTTTGTTGTTGTTGTTGTTCATTTATCTTTTTGGTGGAGCATCAATATTCTACACAACCAACCCACCACAAAATTAAACCTAGCAATATTAAGTAATCAATCTAGCCCTTAATGTAACTGTTTTGGCCACTTTTAGAAGACTTGTTTAGTACGAAATGAAGACTGAGTATCAATGAAATCCAGATGTTGCTACACAAATACCCGCCATCAGGTAATCATGATTACAGGACAAAGAATTGTTTGGTTGACAGAAAACCCAGAGTGGTTATGGGCACGCCAGGAAAGCCACAGAGTAAGGAAACAACCGTTTCCCAATTTATTTTGCGAACAGTAGCACCAATTGCGCTTTTAGTTATATTTCCATATTCCCACCGGTTCTGGTCCCTAGCCTGACCAACTCAGCCTTCACCACCATTCCTGCAGAGCACGCACATGTCTTCAGCCAGTTTTTTGACCAACACACACAACTCAGGGTAAAACCTACTCTGCACAAATGCAGCTTGCCATCCATTTCTCTGACTTCTTATTCTCTCCAGGAAATGAGAGGTAAATGTTTCCTATGGAAATCTCCTGTACTTCTCCAGTACACTGCAGATAATCTCCTAAGTACCTGAGTTGCAATAGTCCGTTCACCAGATAAGCCTCCCCCAAGCACCATTGCTGGTCTCTTGAGCACCCAATAATATGCACGGAGGACACCATTTCCAGTTTTTAATGCCTTCTGGCTGCAAGTAACATTTAAAGGTCCTAGACACTGTGAGCAAGAGTTTGGAAAAAATAACCTTCATATTTATAGTACTCAGGTGGCTCTCCTGAGCAATTAAACTCTTCTAATTTAAATTTGTTTAACACACATTCACTCTTTATAGGGTTGCTGCCTACGAACAAGTCTGATACCGTATTTCTTCCTGAGTGCTTATGATTCTTGAGGAACTTGCTCTTCTAGCCCTGACTTCTAATCCATAGGATGTCATCTTCTCCCAAGAAAGAAGTAATTTATATGCCCTTTCACAATGAATAGAGCAGCACAGGTGAGATGCTACTGGTCCAAAATAAACCTACCTAAAACTAGCCTTATTGACCCCAATGACATTGTTACTAGACGCACCATCTACATTTGTTAACACCCAAATGACAGCCTCATACTTTACAGTAGTAGCACAGGGAGGTACTTGCACTGTCCTCTGCAAGTCTGATTTTTTTTTTTATACATATATTTTTTATATATTTATTTATAAATATCTACTCCAAGGAAGCGTCCAAGAAACATGAAGTAGATAAGTTTTCTTACATAAATGAAGCCTAGTTCAGATCTTACTCTAAAAGCACTAATTGATGAATTAGCAAGGACAGACATTTGTCGTATTTTAGAGCAAGCAACAAGAGTTTAAGAAAAATCATTACTTTATTTTTAAGGTCTTTTCAGAAACTGAAAAAGACCAAAGGTTTGTTTTTACAATCCATTATAGTCTTCAGGAAGTTTCTGTCAACACAACTTGCATTTCAGCATAGTGGTTTTCATCTTGACCACCACCTAAAACAGTTATATTATACTTTACTTTTTATTAGATGAAATTCTGGGACTTGTTGACAGCTCCTTAATTTCTAGAGGAGTTAAATGAAAATTAAAAAAAATTTAAAAAAAAGAAAAAAATGAGAGTGGATCCAAAGCCAAACAGTTAAATTCCAAAAGATTTTTCCAGCATTAAAAAAATGACAAGAAGAAAAAAGTCAACTGTGTGATACACATTTGTACATTCAAATACATCTTCTCTGCCGGGACCAATACCTAGTATATAAATCTCAATGAATCACCATATCATCCTGACAGGTAATATTACCTAGAATTTAAAAAACAAAACAAAGCCAGTAACAACAACAAAACACACCAACACAAAACAACCAACCAAAAAACCAGATTCAGTCAGTTCCTCACTTCACAAAAGGCAGATGTCAGGAAGCATAAATCCATACTAAGATCTTTGTGCTTTGTTAACAGAATTGCTTGTCCACTGTTCTTGCACTTTAGGGTTTTTTAAAAATCTGATTTCACTCAGAAGTCGAGACTTAGATTTGCAGTCTGCAATTAAAATTCACCAGCCTCATAAACAGGAATAAGATGAGCTCAATATTGAATTTTCATGAAAATTCCGTGTTTAACTGTAATTCATATCAGTAAGAAATTCAGCTCTAAGAACCTGGGGAAACAATCAGTCAATCCATACACACAAATACAAAGTACAGTATTATATAATCTGGCTAATTGGGCAACAAAAAAATAGCCTACTTTTCCCAAGTAAATTCAACTGCTACTTTTTTTTTTTTTCTAATACATACTTATTAATTCTTCTTTATAAAGACCAGGATGATTTGTGGAGGGCTGAATGATCAGAGGAGTCTGTATTTTCACTACGTTCCTCCTGCGAACCATGCAGTATTTTTGCCAATCTTTATCACTCCTGCAGCTGTTTCTATGGAAAACTTGCAGGGAATAGGTGCAATGATATCCAACAGGCAATGGCTGTTGGCTGAAACCAAGCCAAACTTAACTCAATTGTCTGACATTCAAAAATTTGAGTTACTTTCCAATCTTAGTCTTCTTCCCAAGTTTCCTCTGGTGGCTTGAAGCTATCTAACTGGAAAATTGCTATGATGTAATTATATCAGTTGGTGGCAAGCAGGTGACTGAAGCTTCAAAGGAGCTGAATTTCAGAAACCACCATGAAAAGTTTTTTATACGTGTGTGCTCTTGGGGACCTACACCTCTTGTTTTTAAATCATGTGCCTGCACTGCTATATATTTGCATAAAAGAATAACAAGTCTTTAAGTCTACTAAGAAAGTATCAGTGAAGTTAGAAAGCCATGAGGCTTTCTAATGTTACATTTCACTTGGTAACTCAACCCGGATGACTGGGTCAGCTGCTGACCCAGGCAGAAAATACGGAGGAAAATGGCAAGAGTTAATCAGAAGGTGTTGAAGCACATGAAACAATGAACAGGCAGCTGGACTGTGCAGTAGAGAAGTCTGAAAGGAGTCAGAATGGAAAAGCAAGAATATCAGCTTGCGTTAATGCCTTCACCTCAATGAGAACAATATAATCTTTCTAGTTCTACTGTTAACCTGGCCCCTATTTCAATTAAATCACACAATGTACGAGATCTCTGCCAGTATATAACTCAGTATTAGGCATAAAAGTCAGATATTGGAGTAAAAAATATTTACTGAATTTGTAGCTATTGAAGCTATGTGGAGTTTCTTTTTCTCTCCTTTCTCCAAGCCATTAGGCTGTTAGGTTTAGCACGGGGATACAGGGGATACCATATATTGAAGGTCTAACTTAAAAAGCTTACAGAGTCCAAAAATCCTACTCAACTTTAAGGGAACTCTGGTCTCCTTCCCAGGGATCAAAGGCAGATATGTGGGCAGCTTTCACGTGAATAACTTAATTCTATTAGGTCTTGTGGAATTCTAAAAAAACATGCACCCCAAATGAGAAACGCTGCAAGTTACTGCCCACTTAAAAACAACGGTAGAGAAGTCTAATGAAGGATGTTGATAGGTTTAAAGCACTCAGTTAAGGCCAATTAGTTCATCTGTAAGCACAATTTCAGATTAACTATGAAGTAAAACAAATCTGGAGAAAAACTTACGAAATAACTGATACCTCAGCCTCCAAAACCAGACTACTTTAAATTTTGACATGTTTAAAAACACCTTACATAATTCAAATACTTTGACTAAGAAAATAATCCTGCTGCTTTCCACAGACTTCCTGAGCAACCCTTTGTTGCACTAGCGTGTTGGTTTTCAATAGTGTTCTAAAAACATGCCGTGGGTTCAAGCTACTGCGCTCACCAGGCACGCTCTGCGAAAGACTAAGGCAGAATCACAAACACCGCTGGGAGCTTCAGATCCCACTCGTAAACATTAGCTTGCATTTACAAACGAGACAAGATTATCAACCGCAACACTATTACACCAGCTGATTTCCTGAAGAAATCCAACAGAACTCCTTTTGACCATTTCACATGCTGGGCACCAAGACCCCCACGCCCCAGGGAACCAGATGCAGGGGCACTCGGAGCTGCGTCATAGCCACTGCGCTTTACACCCCTCGCAGCGTAAAGCAGGAGAGACCCTCTGGTCCTGCAGAAATAGCACATTTGTTTATTCTAGCCAAAAGACTCTCCGTGTTGAGCCGCTGCATCAGAATTGCTGCTGAGCAATCCTGACCGCGTTCAAGCAAGGGCAGCAGCAAGTACAAAATGCCAGGGAAGGTACCTCCTGCCTCTCCCCACGACAGCACAAAGAGCTGAACTTCACTGGGATTTCACTTTTACATGGACACAATAGACACATGCTAAATGTAGTGCACTAAAAACAATCCTTCCTAAGTAGGTAAGTTGAGGTCTGTTCAGTCCTGTGAACTAGTTCTGCTGCTTCTTCCACCTGATTTTTCTTCAGCTCTTTAGGAGGTTACCAACTTTGCGTATCACCTTTATCTGAGTCGCTCTAGATCCACTGTCAGCTCTGAAATGGTCCTCTTTTCAGTTGCTAAACATTGATATTAAATCCTTTGCCAAAATAATTATTCAAATGGCAACTATTCCATATGCCTTCTTACTTTACTGGAGAATAATAATGTAATTCAAAATTCCTCTTGAAAAACCTCACACCATATTTCAATCATAAAAATAACATACAAGTGTATTCTAGTTTTACGCTCAACTTGCCAAGAACTCTTCAGGAAACAAGTTGTTATTATTACATTTCTTGCAAAACTAATACAGGTCCTTAAAAAACAGACTGCACTGAGGTTAAGAAGGCTAGGTGCTCCTCTCTTTCCTCCAAACAGTTAAGAGTTTATACAAAAACTCAAGGGGCTACTTCTAACTGTGAAGGCAAGAAATTTGTCTTCCCCAGGATAAACAATTTTGTTACATAAGAACTTAAGACTGCTTTCCCCCCCACCCATGCAAATAATGAACACGCCTTTATTTGCACCCTCTTTTGCCCCTTGCCTCACAAGAAGTCTAACCATGAAAGTCTGGTATATTAAAGCCACATGTGTATAACAAGTTAAGAATGGAAGTTCAAAGAACACTAACTCTACTGCAGTTAAAGCAGCAGAGTGGTATCACTACAATGATCACACGGTGTTTATCACAAAAATATTATTTTTCCCCTAAAGATCTGAGACACACAAGAGCTTTGCACACAAAGTTTTCAGGAATGCTTCATCAGCCCAATGACACATTTCGGATTGCTACATCTCTTGCAACGCATCACAGATTAGTTTCACTGACAGGCATGAAGCATGTCCTGAAACACTGAGAACAACTAGATCTCTGTGCCAGTTCCAACAACATGGTACTGCTAAAAACGTGCCTAAAATATGCACTGACTTTTGCAATAACTTTTTTTTTTTTTAAAGAGAGCTATTTCTTAAACTACAGTCAACTATTTGCTTTTCATAATTTGATTAAATAACATGAGACTAAGCTTACAACTTTAGTCTTCTGACTCAGTGTCGACTAATCTCTCACTAATTCCCATGCGTCGCCAAATGTACTTCCAGAACACTAACCCACTCCACAATACTAACAGTTATTTAACTGTAAGGGCACACATGCTGGTATATAGCTTTTTGCTGTTTTATTTGAACCAGAAGTTGCATATATTCTTTTCATTTGTTTGGTACTCGTTTTTATGAAATCCAAAATACCAAGTGTTGCACATCCTAGGAAAATGATACAATAACTGCATTTGAGAAGTCACACACATGGCATATATGCATGGAGAGAGTCACGGCTGCACACTTAAACACCAGTAGGTACACAATTTTTTCTCTCTTCATTTGTGCCCCCGGGGTGGGGTTGGTTTGTTTTGTTTTAGGAAGCACTGAGCACTTCCAGAATAAAGGAATTAAGTAAAGCTAGCTAATAGAGCTCTGGATACTATAATCTTTAATATCCCCATCCAAAACTGTAAATCATTAGGAGCTGCAGTTTGTAATTTTCCACTTGAGAATGTGCTTCTCATTCTGAGCTGACTTAGCAGACATGAAGAATTTGTTACAGAGTCCATGGCTGGAAACAAAGTGCTAAATTCGCCATTTAATGACTGCAAATAGTTTTAACCAGTTAGTACAACCATGTTCAAAGCAAAAACCCTGATGTTATGATTACTTACAAGAGTACTATTACTAATACAAGAAAAATTCTCCTCTAAGTAGATCTGCATTGGCATTTTACAGTGCCAACATGTTTGCATTGCTACTGTAGGAACAGAAAAAAGTTCATGTATCAAGTTCATCGATAATAGTTGCAACTATTCTAGATGACCAATGCACAATACTCAAAAATTAACACCACACCTAGAGTTCATTTATGTTTTTTATCAGTCTGCACTATGGCAGTTACCACAATCATTTTCTTCAAAAAAAATTAGAATAAGCGTAATTCTAATAAATTAGAATAAGCACAATAAAATTACAATAACCAGTGTTACTATACTGCAGAATACAAGAAAATAAGCAAAAATTACGCGCTACATAAAATACTTTTAAGTTATACTTCATTAGAGGTGTTCAAGAATTGATGGAGTAGACTATACTATGCATAAGCTCTAATAAAATTGTCCCCAGCCTATCAGTTTCCAAATTGCATATATTCTCCGAGTGGCTACATACTAACCTTTCACCACTCCCAAGAGAGGTGGTGAGTTCTCTTGAGGGGTTCTGTCAGGTTCCTGGGGAGGTACAACCATAGCAAGTGTATGCACCGGTACACGTGGAACCTTAAAACAAAGCCACAGACACACACTCAGATAAAAAAACCCTTTTGAATGGACCAGTTCTCCAAGTGTTAATACAAAGATACATTTCTACAGCAGACCTCCATTCCACTCTTCCCAAACTGTGTATGGTAGGCTACCTCTTGGTAGGACCTGTCCTGCGCTATTTTATCGTGGATAATATATCAAAGTTAACTATGTTACTCTTCACAAAATTCCAGGCTGTGTAGGCTGGAAAACTGTTAACATCCTTAGGCTTCTAATCAGCTAATTCCACTGGGAAGCTACCTCTCCAGCCTGCAGAAGTCTAAATTTACACAATCTATTTTCTTTCATACAACAACCAAAATCAGCACCAACATTTGAGGGGTGCTGTCACAAGGGTTTAGAACTGCTGAAGCAAAATACTGAGCAAACACAACCAAGAAAATAATATTCTTTTGAGATACTAGGTTTGGGACTATCCCATCTAAGGAGCAGAAAAGGGAACATAGTTGATGCACTCTTCAGGACACTGCAGACAATACCAGTCAACTTCCTCACTCTCCACCATTTTCAAGTGCACAGACTTTTTAAAAGTCTTTCCACTGTGTATGTTCACATCTACATTAACTTCAGAAGTTAACTACTAAAGCAGTGCTTCTTTGCAACATTCATGGTGATAGTTAAAAAAAATTCCTTATGCCTTACCTGAGACTGATCCTGAGATGGAGGTGTGAGCTGAGACAAGTCTGCTGCAGGAACCGACAAAACATTGTTTGGGTAATCCAGCAAGTAAGAAACAACATTTGTATGTCCTCCTTTTGCGGCTTCAATGAGCATTGTTGAGCCATCCTGAAGTGAGATTTTGGAAATAAAAAGCCAGAAGATGAATTTTGCTAACTGGTATAGCACGTAAGATATGAATTAGACCATTTAAGATTGCACATTTACTAATCCATTAAATCAACTATGTGGTTCTTTCAGTACCTATGATAAATGCATAGTTTTAAGCGAATACCTTGAGCCGATGAGTAGGATCTGCACCGTGAGCCAGAAGGAGCTCAACAACTGCCAGGTGGCCTCCCGCACATGCCAGTGACACCACCGTGTGGTCATTATTAGCTGTAGCCCTGTTAACATTGGCACCTATAAAGAGAAGATCTCAGAATTAAACACAAGCAAATCCTTTTTAAAAGAAAGTATCGACAGGTACAGTATTTTCTGGAATAAAGATAAACTTTTCTCTTCTAATCTTCCTAATTCATACACACACTTCTGGGGTAAAAGCAGGGGATTTTGAATAACCGATGGCTTCCACACATCATTCTCCTCATCTTGTAAAGACAAGGCAGTAATGACAGTAACAGTGGGCCTCGTAAGTGCTAAGAGAGAGGGAACACTTACGGTGTACAAAGCACAACTTTTAAATTTTCATTCTAAGCACTTACCAGTATCACTGCATGGTGCAATTTTTACTGTTTCAGACAGTACTTGAGGATGTGTTTTTTCTGAAGGAGGGAGTGGGTTTTTTTAAGAAACTGAAAGTATTTGCTGTACTTCAAATCTATTTATTAATCTATACAAGAGTAGGAAAAGTAACTAGCAAAATATTTTGTGATTCATTGTATCATGAACTAAATGAAATTCAAAAAACCCTTAGCAGTTTGACAAATGCTCATATACACATAACCAGATTAATTTTGAGGAAGGATCACAAACATGCAGAACTAAAGCGGCATTTTAAGTTTTTAAATTAGTTATTTAAACTAGTATTTTACCTTTGCTAATAAGGAATTGCACAGTGCATAAATGACCAGCTCGCGCAGCCTTCATTAGTGGGGTTCTCCCACCTTCAGATTCATGCTCCTATTGTAAAGAAGAAATACCAGATGTATAAATGGGCAAAAATTGTACCATTGTTTCAGCTTTTGAACCGTCTCGTGATGGGACCAGAATTACCTGTCTCAGTAGAAGACCTACCTTATAAGATGACTGTAATCAATATAAACTGACTGGAATCAATTTTCATGTTACCTCAAATACTGAATCACACTGTCAAAAAGCATTAAGACCACACCCATACTGTTATCACACAAGGAAGTTTCCCTGCTTGCATATCCCTTTTTATTTTAGTGTTCAAATGCATAACATACTTGAGAACAGTAACATCTGGTTTCCTCCTCAAAAAAGGATGACTATAACACAAATATCATCCAGCATCAGAAAGTATACAAATAACTATGAACTGATGGTGCAACAGTTCTGAGAGCTGTCACATGCTGCATGCCAGACCTTTAAAATTGCAATAATGTCTGAAATGCAGACAACATTTTTAAAACACACTGAAGAGGATCAGCGATAAAAATGAGACAAATCACTGCAGGTCACAAAAAGCCTCTGAATAAGAGGACTGGAGAATAAAGCAGAACGAAGGAAAAAAGGTGATACAAACCAACAAAAAAGGAATGAGCGACAAGAATAATTTTCTAATTTAAAAAGTTTCTGAATACTGGAAAGATGTGGTTGAATACAACTGTATTAGAGAAGTTACAGAACTAGAAAATTTGCCTGCTATGTAGACATGATCAATACCACAAAGAATGCTGACTAATCAACCCTCCTACAGCAACAAGGGGAGAGAACATCATCTTCCTGGGAGTGTTTGTATTTGTGCTCTGAATATTCAGTCTGATCAATAATATACTAGGATCGAGGGGTTTTTTAATTAAATATCTGGGAAGCCAAGCTCTAAATTCACTATTTACTTCTGGAATCATAGGTGTATCTGACAGTGAAAGTTAACATTTAGTACTGACAGTGGATGATACTGCTATTTACAAATACAAAAGGACAAGAATAGATTTGACAGAACACATCAACTCCTTCCCATAGTTTCAGTATTCCTGAAAACTCTGCATATGTCCTTTGACATATGGCTTGCTTTGGTTGCAAGCTTCACCTTAAGTTAGCTTTCTGTTCATACACTCGAGGAAGAAATCTCTTAACTGGATCTTCTATTGGAGACTGACTGCATGCAGAAAATACAAACCAATCCTTTGCCGTAACGGGGGTTACACTACCCCTCTGCTATGCGCTTTGGAAAGAGCGGAAACACTCTGCTCCTGCACCTTCAAAAGAACTTTGTATTATTGTACATGGCTTCAACACACGTTTAAACCCCACATTAGTGCTCTGATTTCTTTGCTTACTTGGTAGTATAATGCATAAGTGCATGCAGGCAGATAGGAAGCCTTACTACTGAAGTCACCTCTTTTTTTTTTTTATAATAAGTAGATTCCACTCCCAGGGCAAATGACTGCTTAGCTGTCGATAAATATATGCATGCTTTTGGATTGTCTGCATGTCAGAAATATTTGCAGGACATGTACAGCTAATTATGTTAGCATGTGGCCCTACGATGCGCAAGAATTAGTAGCATGCCCTTGAGCTCTGATGCTTACTCTGGTATTTGGCATAGTTTTTCCTTCCTCAGCCACTGCCAACAGATCATAAAAAGCCAGATGCTGCTGTTTGCCTTATGCACAGTAAACCCCTGGTACTGCCGGCAAATCACTCGCAAAGCAGCTATGGATGTAAAGAACTGCTGAACACCACTCCACTCGCTGAGCAGGACCAGAACATTACTGCCCAAGCAATTTAATACACATTTCTAAATCCCCATTGATGCAACAGCAAAGATGGCAAGAAGCAAAATTTATTTTAGGTCATCTTAGCTATATTCAAGATAGTGAAAAGCCATCCTGTATTGCATTCAAATGTAGCATTTCAGATAAATAGCAGTAAGATATCATTATCTGCAACATTCTCTATTCCTAACAGACTTCACTGTTGAAGTCTTAAACACAGATGTCAGGAGGCTTCCTCATTTAAATGCAATGCAGTTATTCTGCCCAGTTTAACCAACTGTCACTTCATCAAGCAGGCAGAACTTGATCCGCAACTATTATACACTTCAAATACTTGCAGTACCATACACATCATCAGTCCAGCCAAACTAAACCATTTGTGTGCCCACCTGCTGCAGATCTTCAAAAGTTACTGCATTTTGATGGTATTTTTCACATCGGAAGATAGAAATGCATATTTTATTTTAAGATTAAATGAATTCTATGACTTCAGCATTCTATTTAGCCCTAATGAAGGCTAGCAGATAGCATCAGCTCAAGCTTTAAGGGAAAACAGCTGAAACAAGCCAAAATAAGAAGCTGAGCCACTGCAGTGCCTTTGTCTACTTGCATCCTTTCTTTTACCTGGAATGGCCATAAATTTCAAAGATTTCTTTTTTTAGCTGCAGTGGATAATCAAAATCGGGACAGAGAACATGAAGGCTGTTCAAAAGCATCCTCCATCAGATTTCCAGCGCGTTTCTTCCTTGTATTAATATGAAGTACATGCAAATGCTTATCTTGCAAAAACTAGCAAGGAGTACTCATCTCCAAAGACAATTTCCCCAGCTATCTGCACTGTAGGACTCACCACAGTATTCTGTCTCTCTTCACTGCTCCAATCCTGAGAAATATTGCAGTTAGTATGATCAGAAAGAGGTATAAAGGAGAACACCTAGCCAGCTTTGACTAGAAAAGCCATTCTCTAAACACGTGAGTGATGTGCTCTCCTGCTAATTCTGCTTGAACAGAAAGAACGCCAAAGAAGAATTTTCTGTAGGTTTGGGTACCAGATAGGAAGGAAGGGGAAAGCGAGAGTATTACCCAATCAGGTAAAAGTTTACATTATCTGCACCTTTTCCACTGGGACTCAAAAAGGAGATGAGAATCCAGTCAGTAATAATTATTTCCTTTCTAGACAAATCAATACTTCAGAGAGCAGAGCAAAAGCAGTGTCATCAGAGGCATCTTACGACAATCACTGATTTTATTTTTTTTAATTATTGATTTAGAGTTCTCTGTTTTAGGCAATTCCAAGATCAGCTACATAAGGGCTTCCCCCCTCCCCCCCGCCAATTATTCTCCTTGGTTCACAAGTATTCATGGCTGGCAAGTATTATTCACTAGGATATTTTTTTCGAGTTTGTTTCCAATGTCGTATGTTATTTAAAAGTTCTAGAACAAAATCTGCATTTTCAAAGTAAAGGTCCAACTGCTCTCTTCAATTCTTTAACGAGCCTCTCTCATCCATGACAACGCTGAATATTTAACAGAAATCTAAGTGTTATTCTAAGCAAAATGATTTAGACAAAGTTTTTGATGCAAGACAATAGCCAAACAATACAGTTCGTAACACTATGCCACTTTGCTAATTGTCAAGACTGAACTCCTATCAAGAGATACAGTATTCTAGCAGTCACTAACCTAATTGTCCCAGATAACCTTCCTGAGATATGTAGCAAACCAGTATTTCAGAGTCACCTAAAAACTCAACTAGGCCTCTAGTTTAAAGTAAATATCTGAAAAGAGAAGACCTTACAGGAAGCTAGATATGTACTAACAGGTTTAAACATAGCTACTTGTGCTAATAGACTCAATGAGATAACTTGCTGCATTTGTGAAGGTTGAGATTCGAGATACTGTTTTTTAAAAATAGGGTTTTAGAAAACCCAACAGAAGGAAAAATGCAGGACAAAGATGACATATCTAGTCTACACAGTGAGTCTTTGTATTTCTGAAGAAATTTAGATGCCTTAAAGCCATGCTTGTTGTTAGCATGTATCCTGAGGCTGTAGCTTACAAGCATCAAAGGCCAACCTCACCTGATGCTTGCCCGGCTCTATGCCCTCCAAAATAGTCTTCTTTAAGTCCTCCTGCTTGTCCTGCGGAAGGAAAAAGAAGAACTCACGGCTCTTGTTCTACAAATAAATGTTGTACTTGGTCATGAAGACCTGGAATGTGAACTTAAATGGATCAGATCCACCAGCTGAAAACTCTGTTTTGCTGCAATTAGGCAAGCAAGCACAAAGGTAAGACCAAGCAATGCAGCTCTCACCAGTTAAGACTCCTACCACAAGCCATTCAGATTCACAAAGAGAGCACAACGGTCATACGCAGCATCTCGTTAAATGCAAGATGACTTTGTTCACTACTGGCAAAAGAGAGGATTTCATTGTACTTTGCACCATCCAGAGATTGCAACACAACATCCAAAAGGTGTTAACTACAAAAATTAGCTTCACATGTCCTACAGCCTTTTGCTTTATTTGTAGAAGACTGAGGGCCAAGTCTAAAAAGACCTGAAATCCCCGATGGTTCAAGAAACAGTATGGAAAAACCTGACAGCTTCTCAGATCTCTCACTGTAACAACAACATAGCTATCTCCAGCATGGTTTCATTCAAATCCGTATTGGCTACTTTTGTAGATGCTTCAATGCTGCCTTATGCGCACTGCATCAAACATGCAGTGAGTGTGTCATACACATAAAGGAAAGTGAGTTTCTAATTAAGGAGCCACATTAGTGTGAGGGATGTTATCAGCTGAAGGCAAAGCAATGATCCCTGCAATGACAAAAACATCTGTCTGTAAAAATATTTTGTCACGGGGAAGAATCAAGAGGTAGTTTGGCATGCCTGTATTTTTTTTTTTTGCAACTGGAGTTATGTGGATGCCAGGTAGCCAGTTTTAGTCTTTTAAGGAAAGCCACGAGTGGAATTTTAACAAATATAAAGAGCTATGAGGAGAGCTTGATAGTGCAAAATGAGAAGAATGCAAGGATGAAGCTGCCCTCAGGGGTTCTCTTCCATCTCTCAATTTCAGCATAAAAGCACCCATATATCTTGTAGTAGAAAGGTAAACTCCACCAGTAGATCAACTCTCCTGTGCAGCAGAGCCTCACGTACAGCTGCATGGCAGCCCAGATTAGAAAGTCCCAATTAAAACTCTTTTCTGTATTTCC